ATAATACATGAAAAGGGTCATTTCGAGACAGAAAAATGTGACATGACCAGAGCCTTACTGCACTCCCATGCTTTGCATGATGCCGTCTTGTGCCTCAAGGGCCTAATAAGACGAGTAAACAATTATGTCTATACTGTACTGACGATGTCTTTACTTTGTCCTCCCCACGGCTGACTGCCATCAAACACAGACGGTGGTCACCAGAGGTGTGGACTCGAGTCATGTGACTTGGACTCGAGTCAGACTCGAGTCATGAATTTGATGACTTCAGACTCGACTTGGACTTGCATAACAATGACTTTGTCCCACTTCTGAGGTGTGGACTCGAGTCATGTGACTTGGACTCGAGTCAGACTCGAGTCATGAATTTGATGACTTCAGACTCGACTTGGACTTGCATAACAATGACTTTGTCCCACCTCTGAGGTGTGGACTCGAGTCATGTGACTTGGACTCGAGTCATGAATTTGATGACTTCAGACTCGACTTGGACTTGCATAACAATGACTTTGTCCCACCTCTGAGGTGTGGACTCGAGTCATGTGACTTGGACTCGAGTCATGAATTTGATGACTTCAGACTCGACTTGGACTTGCATAACAATGACTTTGTCCCACCTCTGAGGTGTGGACTCGAGTCATGTGACTTGGACTCGAGTCATGAATTTGATGACTTCAGACTCGACTTGGACTTGCATAACAATGACTTTGTCCCACCTCTGGTGGTCACTGCATCGCGCGCTTTCAGATGCGCTTCTGTGGCCATCTGGAACGCTCTTTCTTCCGATATTAGAAGGCCCCTGGAGTTATGGACTTTTAAATCTAGATTGGAAACTATTTTCTTAAAAACTGCTTTTGTGTAATGTCTTCCTTCCCCCGCATCTCCAATTAGCACGATTGGTTTAACATACATAATACAGTTGGTATTTACATTTTATATTACAATTACTCTTGTTTACCGAACCTCAAGACTATGTTTGCAAGGTCTTGATACGTGCTATGTAATGGGGGAGACGATTGCTGTTGTCCAATTAAGTAAATACAAATAAAGAGGCAAACTTGGACCATCGCGCAGTCAACACTTTTACTTACTGTCATTTAATTTCCTCTATTTTTGTTGATATTTTCCATCTTATTAAATTATTTGGCATCGCTAAGAAACGCATTATTCCTAATTTCAGAAAGTAGCACATGCTACATAGAGTTAAAGTAACCCGAAAGAGTTATTGGATTGAGACACTACGCATTGTCCACCAATTTCGGTATTATCCTTTAGGAAATAATTCGTGTCGGAGCTGCAGCTATTGAGGCACAACAGCACTTGACACTTGTAACTATTTTATTTACTCTGTCGAATGAACCACAAAGACAAATATTGGTATTTTTGGTTTATTTGTTATTGAGTCCGGCGATTACAAAAACTCACCAATAACTAAGACCATTTATAACTAAAAACAATATTGAAATGAAGCAATGTTTGATTCGGAATAATGTTTGAGATGATATGAATATTGCAATAGTTTATATTCTGGACGGCCTATTTAAAGTTACCGTTTTGTCTGTGAACCCTGAAGGGACTCTGGAGATGCCTTCATATAACGTTGCCACACGCGTGCTATAGTTACATAAATTAACTGAAATTGCTACTTAACAATATCGTGCGTTAACTACAGAAAGGATGGAAGACAAGGAAGAAGTATTTTCAAAACACTTTGAGCCCACCTTAAGCTGACAAGTCTACAGGGATTATTAGAATTATCCCAAAACATTATCAGACTCATCCACAGCATTGGCACGGGAATTCATATTAAGACTATTTTCAACGACACTTTCTGAACTTTGTTAAAAAAATGGGAAAATGTCAAAACTGGGTGGTTTTTAACTTTTGCCGACAAAACTGGATCCCAAATGTCAAAACTGGGTGGTCTTGGAAAACGACAGGCAAAACAGGGTGGTGCTTTTTGATATGACACAACTGGGTGATGTTCAATGTGGACAAATGTCAAAACTGGGTGAAGAAGGTGTACGATTTAATGTATCATTTTGTACACGTTTAGGTCCTTGCGTTATTCATCCATATGTCGCCACAGATTTAGAGCGTTCCAAATTATGTTTCTCGTGGCTCATGTTCCATACCTTGCACCACAAACTTCCCGTTTGCATACTGGCACAGTGTGCCAGCTCGCTTACTTGCCGTTTGTATACTGGCACAGTGTGCCAGCTCGCTACTACAGTAACACTTACTTGCCATATGTATACTGGCACAGTGTGCCAGCTTGCAACTACAGTAACACTTTCAGCTCGCGAACATACACGAACTTGCCATTTGTATACTGGTACAGTGTGCCAGCTTACATGCTACACCTACTACAGTAGAACAACGGTAGATAGTGTTTGCGTCGAGAAGTATGGTGCTGCACACTTAGAACAAAACATGTTTGTTACATATATATAACTACTTCGACGGGCAAGAGCGCTTGTTGTGGCCCTTGGCGCGACAGAAGGAGCACCGCGTGAGGCCCAATGGGCCACCTTCGCCACGGTTGCGAATCCGACGCTTCTTCGGGCGGCCAGCCTTCTTCTGGCGAGGAGGTGGCATCATGGTGTTGTCGCGTTGCAGCTCCTCGGCAATGGGCAGCTCGATACCGGCAACCGAGGTCCATGTCGTGTTGATGGCAGAGACTTGGTAACACACCGCACATGCGTCGTAGAGCTCGGGCATCCGCCCAAACGCCATGAGGGCACGAATGTAGTGCCGACACGGCAAGCCCATCTGCTTCATGTACCCGCACGTGCACGACCGAGAGCTGAGATCGACTCGGCGCTTGGCAGAGGCGTAGGCGTCTGGATCCTTGACGTATGCACGCGTCGAGGTACTCTCGTAGACCTTGTACCTCGGGGCCAACGCCTGCTGAGCGTCGATGAGTCCTTGAGCGTACGGCGTAATGACACGCCCTTGAGCGGCCCACTTCTCGGCGTCGCTGCGGTGGGCAAAGGCCGTCGTCATCATGTCTTCCATGTGGTGCATGAGGAAGTGGAAGGGGTCCATCTCGCGAGCCGGCAGGGCCTCGCTGTTCGTGGACTCCACAAAGTTCGTCGTGCGCCAGCCGTACAATGGCGTCGTGTGCAAGTGCGGGTAGAGCGCCCACGTGTGGGGGTCGATCTTGTTGTAGTACGTGGCCGCCGCAGGCAGAGCTACGTCCAAGCAGCCCAAGGAGCTGCGGAACGCGGCCTCGGAGGCGCACCCTTGGGCATCGTAGATGATGCCTTGGAGGTCGGGCGTGAACGCGGAGCCGATGTTGTCCACGCCGTTGCAGATCAAATGCCGCGTGCAGTGGATGAGCATGAGGTCCTTCCAGTCGGAGGCTAGGATGCCCGTGCCACGATCGCAGAAGACCGGCGTGCCGTCGAGCTCGATGTCGTTGGTCGTGCAGCAGTTGAGAAACCAGTCGTAGGCCGCTGCCGTCTCGGACGGCACCAGCGCCACGGCGAGAAGGACGTTGCGGTTGTTGCCGTCGCGCCCAACGAGAACGAGCATGGTTCCGTTGTAGGCGCGCGCCTTCATGTGCGACCCGTCGATGCCGACGACGCGTTGAAGACTTGGCTGCAACGAGCGTGCGATCGGGTTGCAGATGAACGCACCCCAGAAGATGCCCGCGTCTTCTCGCACACTGCAGGTCGTCGCGTTGAGCTTGCCGAACGTCTCCACCAGCGAGTTGATGAACTCGAAGCCTGCATGGGCCGCACTCTCGTTCGCCGCGATGCACGTGTCCTTGGCGCGGTACATCATCCGGGTCGGGACAATGACGCGAGCAACGTCGGCGACCTGGGCAATGACAGTCGGTGCGGAGGTACGGGGGTTGGCGCGAAAGGCCGAACGGGCTGTCGTGTTCGCCTCCACTTGGCGCTGCGTGATCTTGGTAGTGCCCGTGCAGCCGTGGTGATCCGTGCACAGCGCCGAGACGCGGAAGCCGCGTCGTTCCCCCGTGAGCTTCGTCAGCTTCACCTTGAAGGAACAAGGTGTTGAACTAGAGCAGACGATGGCAACGTGCCATCCGCCGCTTCGCTTGAGGTCAAGGACCGCGCGCTTGCCTTGTTGCAAAGCAAAGTCTTGGATGCCGTGGATGGCCTCGCGGCGCGTGGTAAAAGTCTTCTTGGGGTGGAGGGTTGCCATTCGAATGTGAGCCGCTCCTCCACCTGTTTCGTGAAAAATGCTTGTGAAAAATCACGTTTCTACGTCTACTTTCAATTTTTCACGAGACAATATGTCTATTTTCATTGCCAGCAATTTGATTTTTCACACAATATTTCCGCCAATCACCGTAACGGTGGGCCAAAGGATTGACCAATCAACGAGATGCGCATTCGTTGGTTTGTTCCGCACCATTGGGACCATGGTCAGGAGCGTCAAGCAGGCTGGTCCATCTCCCAAGGACGTCGCCTTTGTCTCTGTGCTTGGTCGTTTGGCGGGCTATGGTCGAATGCATGGCAAATTTAAGGGTGTACAGTAGCGCATAGCATCAACCAACAATCCAAAAGTTTGGTATTGACGCGAGTCACTAGTCTAGGTCATCACGCAAGGTGGCAGTGCGCCCGCCTGGTCGCAAGCCCGCCCCGAGCTCACTTCCGAGTCCGAGCCGTAGCTTGAAATGTTGGTCGTTGGGGTGCTGGCACACTGTGCCAGCGTACAAATATCAAGTGTGTGTAGTTATATGGTGCTGGCACACTGTGCCAGCATACTAATACCAAGTGTTTAGATGAATGGGGTGCTGGCACAGTGTGCCAGTATACAAATACCAAGTGTTTGGATGAATGGGGTGCTGGCACACTGTGCTAGTATACAATTATCAAGTGTATTTGACAAATGTCAAAACTGGGTGCACCCTGAGTGTCCAAAACTCAAGTTTTTGGCCACCCAGGGTGCACCCAGTTTTGACATTTGGGATCCAGTTTTGTCGGCAAAAGTTAAAAACCACCCAGTTTTGACATTTTCCCTTAAAAAAATATTTGTTCCCATAAAGGCATTACAAATAATATGTAGCTTACATTATGTAAGCCAGTAGGGTATGTTTAAAAGTGTTGATTTCTTGATGCTGAAAGAATCCTGAAGTGATTGAGAGTTTAAAAAAATGCCATACCTGCTGGTGTATTACAGCAATAAATTACCAACTTCAGGAAAGGTTTCCAAATACTGTCCAGATGGAAGACAAATCTGAGAAGCATGTACAGCAGCTCTACAGCTTCGAGACTGTACAAAAGGTCTTCACCCTCCATATATCCTTACAAAAACACATGAATCCTGTCATTTTCAGTAACTTTCCATCGCATTATTTTCTCAGTATATGCATATTTATGATTTTCAGGTTCAAACCCACTGTCAGCGATATCCTTTACAGGGGAAATATTGCCAATAATACTAATATATACTTTTATATATACAGTACATATATTGACGTTGGAATTTCTGCTATAAGCAGTGACACACAACGGCTTGATCTTAATTTCCATATGGGTGGTGAACTGGAGCAGTGGCATGCACGGTGGTTCATTGCCTGCACTATTCATCTCGCGACCTGAGTTCGATTCTTCACCAGAGCTAATATTAGGCGGTGAGTGATATCTGCGCACTAGCCCTGGACCTCACCCCTCAAGACCACACTGACCAGCGCCGTGAGTTGAAACAAATCCAGTAACTGACATTGTACAGGGAGGCCTTTATCCAGCAGTGGATTTCATATCAAAATTTGCAGTATGTTTTGCTGCAAAAAAACCCATTTCAGCAACTCCTCTCAGAAATAACCAAGAGGTAGAAATCAACTGTCAGCCCTGCACACATCGGGGCAGTGCCAAATGCATCAACTATTAATGCTGTCCAGCTGTTAAGACTTGATTCGTCAATGCCACTCAGCAGAGTTCAGTGATTCGCAAGGTAAAAAAAAACAACCATTCAAGTAAATTCACTATCAAGAATGCGTTTCTAAACATATACCGATTAATAAGAACAGTTTCTCGAAGCCTTTATTTTTTATTATCTTGAAAAATAACAAAGGACTCATAAGTTAAACATGGTTAATGTCGAACATTAAGTGTCTCGATGTACTGTAATTTTAAACATTTAACACCATCTTACTGCTGCCAACTCTCAGCTTTTCACAAAAACCCATCCAACAAACTCAAAGTGCTGAATCCTGTGCACTATCACACAAATACAAATGGGCCTTTCATTCCCAATTACTATACAACAAATGCGTTTACTAATTCGCAATGTCGCACACTAATTTTTACTGTGTGGATGACCCAAAAAGGGTTGAATTGTATTTTTTATGGACTTTGATAATAGTTCTAATGAAAGTATCATTCCATAGACATCGCATGAAACTGTGCAACAGTAGTGTTTATATGGCAGCCAAAATACTAACAAAACAACACAAGGAGTACTCTTAGTTTTACATAGGGAATCATAAAAAAAAACTTATAAAACGAACGCAAACATTCAAACCACAATATGCCAAAACAATAGTAAAACATCACAAAACCAGACTTGAATAAGGCAAGAGTTCTGGGTAAGCACATGCGCACTAGCAATTCTAAAGCTACAATACAGTACTTATCTTATCTGTCATATGGAATTCAGTGACCTTGCCCGCTTGTGCAGGTCCATTTACTGTTAGTGCTCTCAAGCATTTACTTCACACTTTAGAAATAAAATTAATTACATGAAACTCATTCGAAAATATATTCAGCCTTCCACCTTTGCCTCAGAGTGATGGTGACGCAGATAACACTGTACAGTACACGGCGTGATTTTTTATAAGTGTTACGAAATTGTATAATATGTAGCTATGTTGTATTACGTTATAACAAGTCCATTAGACGTGTTGGGTGTTCCGGTTAAATAAAATGAAACTTTAAGTATTATTTGCTTAGTTTCAATATGCCAGGCATACCCCAAAACCAGGCAACTCTCTCCATTGTTACTCTGGCTTCGAGAGATTTCACTGTACATGAAATCTGTTTACATCTGCTTCAAGCAATTAAAACACATGTTGCAGGAATAGAAAATGTTAAAAGCATACCATAAACCACTGACAAAAAAATTGTAGTTTTAAGCCAGAGAAATACAACGCCCTATGTGCATATATTAAATAGTGTCAGACATTATTCGCTCTTACAGTAATTCCACGATAAGTCCATTAGGCGAGACTTGAAAGAGTGAATATGTTAAATAAAGGCTTTTATAAGAATAGTTCATGTTCATCGGTAGACTTCATCGCTTACTCCGATGTACTTTTCTTCAAGTAAGCAATCAGGTTGTTACGCTCGTCTTTTTTCTTTATTCCCGAGAAGATCATCTTCGTGCCAGGGATGTACTTCTTTGGGTTCTCCAAGTAGACATAGAGTGTATCTTCCTCCCAGGTGATTCCTTGATATATCAGTGTAAAGCAGATACACACGTTAAATTATACCAACAGAGATACAAAAATACAAGATGTTTGACAATACGATTTGAGGTGTCCACAGCCTTTATTATGTTCACATTTAAACTTTACTTGGATCGCACTTTAGCGTGCGACTTCATCACCAAGCTACTGCTTAAGTCTTCCTCCTCGTCCACAAGGTCAAGGGTCAATTGGGAGTGGGAATGTGATGAAATGGCAAATTACATACCCTTCGACTTGTTGGCATCAGTGTACGAATAGCCTGGAGCCTGGCCCGTCTTGCGACCAAAGAGGCCCCACAAATTGGGCCCAGTCTTGTGCTTGCCGCCACTCTCAACGGTGTGACACTGCGAGCATTTCTGCACAAACACTTTCTTGCCCTTCTCCACATCTGCCATCGCTCTGCATAAAACAGGGAATGAAATTTGTATTGCCGGAAAGGGTACAATATATTCTTATTATTAATCGTTTTTGATACTTGAAAAAAAGGTCCCATAGATATAACTGCTCGACCCGATCTGTAAGAGTTTCGATACTTGCATCGTCTTTATCCTGTTCGCCTTTGGCGTTCTCTGCTCTATCACTGGTGAGACAAGGCCATTGAGAAGGCTGTCTCTGGTGTAGGCCAATCAGTTTCAAGGACAATGCATCAATTATCAGAGCATGTTCATTTTCACGTTTTGTCACAAGTATGTATGGTTAATGCAGACTTGATGCCTTAGAAAAGGTATCTATTTTGGTGTTTGAACATCTTAACACCTGTTTTATTGCCGAAAAGGGTACAAAATATTCTTATTTTTCATAATTTTTGATACCGGCAAAAAGATCCCATTAATATAATTATTCATTTCCAGAATTTCCATGTCGCACATGTTTTCTCTCGTCAGCACCATGAACTCATCAGGCACACTCACTACCTACTAAATATACCTGACAACTCACCAGACATTCACCATGCCTCTTACAGTCACCAGACACTCACTCGACTCTCACCGCTCACTCACCATTGACTACTCACTACTCACGTGACACAACTCCCTCCGCAGACACACTCAATACATACCTGACACCACGCCTCACTCGCTACGCGCCACTTACCAGGCATTCACTATTTGCATCAGTCACCAGACACTCACCACCCACCGAACACCCCGTCCAAACACACACCACGCACCTATGACACTTCACACTTCAAGTGCTTGTCTGGTACTGTGTTGGTAGCATCACTGGATAATGTGAAATGACGCACGTTATCAAGCAGGCGATGCACCAATCATTGAGAATAGTGTGTGGTCAGGGATTTTAGTTCACCCATGTCAAAGGTCAAATTATAGTCCCACGGTTACTGGTTTTCCACTGGACCGGGGATACCAACAAAAATACTCAAGCAAATTCGTGAGAGACGTCACCAAGAAGTCCAGTGACGTTGGTCAAAACGCAGAGCGTGCACATCCAAGCGAGATTGACGAGTGGTGGCAGTGGTTGCTAGGGATTACATCGTGACTCTCGTTACACCTGAGGGTGCCTTCAGGGGCGCTGCAAGAGGATACAATGAATACGCGAAATAATTAATGATAAATTATGTTAATGCTTTAGGCCCATGCAATAATTTGTTTCGTGGCTATGCCCATTAAAGGAATACTAGAACAGGAATCTATGCATTTTAACGATGCAATGCTCGATTAAACGGGAATCGATCGATTTTTTCGGGAATAGATCGATTTTTTCGATAAGCGTTAGAGCATGGATCGAGCTTTGACATTTTGAATACAATTTTTTAAAATCGGTACAGTAAATTGATTCTGTGTGACGTTATTTTTGGCTCAAAAGAGACGATTTGTGGATCGAAAAAGCCACACGTTCGACCGCTCCTTGACGCTGATTGGCTTCCCTCATTAACATAATTGATCATTCATTGTCGCGGATTCATTATATCCTCTTTATACAGCGGAACGACCTATAGCTACTACGGATGTTTTTAACACGTATACAATAATATTAGGCTACAACTTTGTTATTTTAGTTGCAACCGTGTATTGGGTTGAGAGGAAGACAGTCTCACAGTGACAGTATTAATAATCACGATTTAAAGGTATAATAACGATTTAAAGGTACAATACCCCCAATTAAGTGTTCTTGCGCATGTGGGTGAGCAAAATATTCTGGTGATCAATGACAAACACCAGTTAGCGCTACACTATTTTACGCCTGGTATTTTTCGGAAATATTTGTTTAATTTGTAACAATGTGTTTTGGCATTCATGGTGAATTGTCGGAATTAAAAAAAATTTCTTTTGTAACTTGTTTATCTGTCGAGTATGGCCCTCCCGTGTTGCCTACTGGGCCCCTATGCATCGCATAACGCTGCCACATACCCCATTGGTTGCGCCCCTGGGTGCGTTCAATAGGCAGGGCGCCCCAGAGAACGCGTTTCTATTGAACGACCTATTAAGCTGCCAACGCATAAAAGGAGCTCACGTCTGGGGTACCGTCTCGCTGAGCCTTGTGTACAAATCCAGTCAATTGGAGGAAACCGCACAATTCCCATAAACTCCTCGCCGTTATGAGGCTTTTGGCGTCCTAAAGAAATAAGAGCCAACTTGTTCAATAATAGCCAACTTCTCTCGTAAACGCAATGGGCATTGAACTCACCCCAGTCCCTATGCAACATGGCCGCCGTAAAAGTCCCCATGCAACATGGCCACCGTGCAGACCCTGTGCAACATGGCCACCGTGAAAGTCCCCTTGCAACATGGCCACCGTGAAAGTCCCCTTGCAACATGGCCACCGTGAAAGTCCCCTTGCAACATGGCCACCGTGCAGACCCCATGCAACATGGCCACTGTGAAAGTCCCCTTGCAACATGGCCACCGTGCAGACCCCATGCAACATGGCCACCGTGAAAGTCCCCTTGCAACATGGCCACCGTGAAGTCCCTGTGCAATATGGCCGCTGTGACACCATTGTTCTGAGTGTTGCAAATATATCCATGTTATTACTGGTAGGAACCTCGTGGTTCCACCAGCCCACAGGGGATTATTGTGTCCGTCCGTCGTGCATCCAAAAATGGGAGGGGTGGGGCTGAGTGGAGAAGGGAGGGTGGGTGGGGCTGGGTGGGGAGGGGCTGGTCACCCCGTGGTGCCCTTATAAAACTCAACGTTTCACCTACTCACGCCGGCTTGTGCCCGCCCTCACAGTCGGGCAGATTTGCGGAATACACCACGCCGCCGTTGACCCTGCAGGCCATTGACCGAGCAACCCAACGTTCCTACCAGCTCCCTCCGCAGGAATGTGTTAACAATGTGTGATTTTGTGTGCACTTATTTGTGCGAATTTGTGAGCGCGTGCGGCCACTCATGTGTGTTACTTTGCATGGGAATGTTGACTGTGCCCCTACTGGAAATCCGTGAAAAAGAGTTGCATAGCTCATCAGATTCTGATTTATGTTCGTGCCTGAGTGTTTGTGTATATCGATGTATGTAACTATCGTACGCCGTGTCGGCCTTCACGTGTACTAGCTCAGAGTTTGTTAAATGCCTATACAGTATGTGGAAAATGTGTCTAATTATGACATTATTTGTGATTGTGCACGCATGTATTTGCAGGTTTGGGTGCGTGTCTCTGCGTGTGTATCTGCCAGTCTTGCCAAGTCAGCCAACACCAACACCTGGGTCTGTCTCGTGCACCTATCCTGGCACAAGAGCCGTAATGTCACGGTGGTGGTTGTTGTGTATTTGGTGTTGTGTATTTGTGATAGTCTGTTTGCGTGTCCGTATTGTTTAAGAGTACGCATGTGTGGACCTAATGATGAACTAAGGGGTGTCTCGAGCAGCCCTTAGTTATCACAGAAGGTATGATATTTATTTCGCGTAAATACCTTATGGAATTAGGAGTTAGAACAAATCTCAGGTTACACAATTTCTAGAATTATGTAAGCTGTTCGGTTCTTGGGCCCCAGACCGCATGCTGTGTGCTTCCTTCGAAACGAGTGCCATGGGCCCAACATTCAACATCCAGTGACTCGTCACCAGCACGGGAGGAGGGCTTTGTGGCATTGGGAAGAGCCGGCCCATCATTTGGCTTAATTTTGGCCAAACAAATCCCATCATCAGAATGTTATCGATGTTGCCATCAACATTTGATGGCTGGTTTTCCTTGTGAGATAACATTTTAGTCCACTCCTTGTTGGGTAACAACCCTGCCAAAGTGATCGTGACAATCATTGATAATTTATGTAAATGTAACCTAATTAACACGAGTGGACTATGCTGGATGCTATCTCGGTTGAGTAACAGCAGGTTACAAATTGTAGAACTGTACACGTGGCCAAGGTCAACCCAGCCGCAGTGTCTTTGAGGGGTTGGCAAAACGTGCATCATGACGTCGTGCGAGTGTGCACCACCACTTAATGAAGACTGTGGCACAGAATACACTTGTCCCTGTCATAGGAAGATGGAAATCCCATCATTTTGGGTCTATAACTTTAAGACTCCTGCTGTGTACGATTTTAAAGGCCCGTGTGCCAGTACGCACTGAGACGCAGACTTTTCCTAATACATACGAGCAAAAAAATGCAGGAACAAAATTGTAAGTATCGTGCTCTGATAAATAGCTCGACACAGGGCTCAAGCTTAATATCCAAGCACCATGGTGGAGGCAGCGATAACCCGATATTGCTGACGAAGGACAAATCACAAAACGCCAATTGACAAACGTCTCGGGCAATGACCCTTATTCAGTGCAGGTAAAGGTGGCAGTGTAAAAATGTGTTCTGCAGACAGAAATGTCAGAGGAAAACAAATCAATCACCATTGATTTTTCCACATTAAGTTAAATTGGTGTTCCAGTCTGACGTTAACCAACAGCAATAGATATCAACCGTGTAGCTATCAGAAGGGTCAAGATTGCTATAAAAAAGTGGTTTTCACCAGGCATTAGAGGACTTAGCGTGCTGTCTAAACGATGGGACCCTCACAACACACACAGCATGTGCTCCAATTTAAATATATATTTAACAATATTTTATCAAATAGATTTTGTATAGGTTTAGTCTGGACTTAAAGGGGGGGGGGGGGGTGGGCGGAAAGTCCCTATACCGCATTAACATTCACGCGCTGTGATAGCCTCTCGGGCAGGGGTATACGGACTTCCCGTCCACGCTATCGAGGCATGTCGCGAATGGCGCCTTCACTTACCTCGTGAGTCAGCGGTAAACACTGCGAACCGGGTTGCAGCTCTCCCAAGTAACTCGCAAAGCAAATAAACACAACCACTTGCTCCACTCTCACTGCAATCACCGTGTGGCCAAAGCCCGCACCGGCGTTCTTATGAGTGTCGCGTTGTGTAAGTGAGAGATACCAAGTGCACTGCACGGGGTGAGGATATACATCTTTAATCACTATCTTTTAAATACTGCAATCCATATAACATTTTTTAGCCCATTAATTAAGCCGGAAATACATTTTTTTATTTTGAAAATTGTCAAACGTTGTTAAATAGTAACTTTCTATGAATATTGTGTGATGTTGTGTAATGTAAAAAAAATGCGCTCCCCTCTTTGAATGGATCGGTCTCGCGGCATGTGGGGGTGATGTCAGTGGCGGTGACGTCACACGGAGTCACCCTTCAACTGCCCGGTGATGATTATTGGTTTTTTACCCTTTTATCTGGCAACAAAACTGACACCTTTTTACAAGGAGTCATGTTTGCATAGACCACAATACCTGCGGTCAAAATGCAAAAAAACACAACTCTGATAATGTATGCACTGTCCTTGAAATTGATATCAATTTCAGTTTTGTTGCCAAATAAAAGGGTAAAAAACCAATGATCATATTTTGCTACTGACAAAGGTGGTTCCAATGGTGTCAGGTGATGTTTTTGCGTCGTCAATGCTACACAAATAACAACATCAACATTCAACACGTGTCAATTTGAAACAACAAAAATATCTCACAACAAAATAAGTTATGCCCTATAAAGAAGGGCCATTGCCATAAATTTCACCTCCGATATATTGTCTGTGTTACGAAGGAGGGTCATTGGCCGAAACGTCGCCCAATATGTATTTTTTCATTTTAGTAGTAACGTTTGTGAACCGACTCATTGAAATGTAGAAGTGATGTCATTCTAAAAACTAAGAATAAGTTTTACCCGTTCAGGCAAACATATTCTTACTTGTTGATACTGGCAAAAAGGTCCCAATTTGTGATGCCATTCATCGTTACTGTTAAAAAAACTCACATTCGTCAAGAGTACTACGGCCTTAAAATGAAAAATGTATAACAATCGACGTTTTAGGACAAAGTCAATCTTCACAGCACATGAATAGAGGTCAAATATACAGTGGAGAGTGAGAGATGCAGGTTGCACTTAACACCATTGGGCCTTGCTGAGAATTACATTTGTTTAAATGTTTTCTGATTACTATGATATTGGCATATTAAGTCACCTCAGTCCCCTCGTAGTACATAGTGTAACATACAAACCCTTCAACGTTACCAAAAAATCTAAATACATTTATATTAAAAGTAAAATTTTAACACTGGCACACTGCATTTTTGGAAGCTTTGTTCTGGTGAGCACAAGGCACAATCCACTTATCAATGCATTGCTGGGCCCAATCACCATTTCAATGACAGTAGTTTTAACTGCCCTAAGTTCCTGAGGCGGATAAATCTGAGAAATACAACAATGTAGACATTCATGAAAGTAAAGTAAATCAAGTTAGTGAGCAATACTTTTTGATTATGGAATGATTTGTCTGTTACCCAACAGCTACTATTAGGTAACTATTCATATATCACCAGGCCCCATGGTGTATAGTGCAGTCTCCAACTCTATCCTGTTTAATACGTAGGCTTTTTGCGACCAATATTATTCATAACAAAGGTTTTATGGGTTAGATCGCGTAAATATACGTAAATGTTATGGGTTTACTCTCTAACACACTGAACTTGTAACTATTTGGCACGTTTTTGTTTACATGACAAACCTAAACGACACATGTATGCGATCTAACCCATAAAACCTTTATTATCTTACTATCCACTCTGTCACTCCATAGAGTGCTATGCAGAGAGGTCTTCGCTCAAAACGTCGCCTTTTAGATATGTTGATTTTAAGGCCGCAAAGTGTTATCGAAGAATGTGTTGAGTTTTAGTTTGTTAAATATCGTTATATTTAGCTTCATTCTCCAAAGGGTTTTGTGGAGCGGATGTTTTCTAGAAAACCCTGGACCAATTGGGACGTATGAAGTCGGTGGCAGAGCGTATCTTTATCCATTATAAACACTCATGTTTAAACTCATTATCACGTGGATCACTATTACATAGCATTACAAGGTGGATTATCAAAATGCAAGATTGAGAGACCATCCAGTAGTGGATTGACCATGGCTGATATTTTTAAGTGGATATGCAATCACTGTAAAACATTACCTATACTGTACTACTGTATGCATTTCCGACGAGGTGACGCATTACGACTGTGTCCCTTTGAGAAGAAGACGAAGAAGAAAAACACCCCGCGGCTCAGTTATTATATAAGGAGTGTTCTGTGTTCACGTTGTTGCGTGGCTCGTGTGTTTAATAAGGCCCCGTTGTGAAACACTTGGCACGTTATACAGAACACGTTTTCTGTTCGCGTTGTATTGGATAGGTGGGGATGTCCGATTCTCAAAGTAAATCGATTGATCACTGGTTAGAAATATTTGGGATAAGAATTGCGCCTTAGTAAGACACGGGAGGACATATCCTCACTTATGAAAATATCATTAGGGTTAAGCTTAATATCTTTAATTATATTTACGAGATGTTGAGAGTTTTTGATGAACGAAGAGGTCCTACCGATGTAGGGCTGTATTTGTTTCGTTACGTATTGTGCTAATTTGTACATGGCACAGCCTATTGTACTATGGGTCTTAATCAGACATGAGGTTTGTGAATTTTTGGTAGCCCCTGAAGTCTTGGTGGTTTTGATGCCCTTGGTTTGATCAGGTATTGCTCTTCCGTGGGGATTGATGACTTGGCAAGAGCGCAGAAGCGTGGTCACCACATCTACGCCTCAAAATAAGGAACGAAACAGTTAGACTTCTCCACAAATCTGGCTGTCGCCTGATGAAGCTAGTTGTAATTACTGGCGAAACATCATACTCAGATTGTAAATGTGGTTTGGCTCTCTAACGCACCGGTGTGGTGTACTAGTGACGAATTGGCATGTTATGTTTATGTGACAACCCTTACTAGTTGGCTGTGTCAGGTGGTGGCGGGTTTTAACGACACATTTACGTGATCTAACCCAAAAAAACTTTATTATGGAGTATACTGTATTAATGCGGAACAGACTATACCCCAGAACTGATGCCAAATGAAACCGTATTTGTTGTAGATGAGCAGTTTCCAATTTGCCTATTTTCTGTCAGACAGATATTATTTAAACCAATACAGAGCAGTTCAAGTAGCAACAATAACGGTTACTAGTCTTATTAGAATCGTGGAGTATCCATTGGATCTCAATGGCCTGATTGTGCAACGGACAGGCCCTGAAAGAGCTTGTGACAAGGGGCCACGGCAAATAAGGGGCGCAACCATAGTTACTCCGGAGCTCTTGGTTTATCTCCCTACATGGGGTGCGCATCTCATAAACACCCTCTCGAGACCTAGCCCACGTATGCCGAGCTTCTTTCAAGTGTACTATGTTTTGTGGCTCTGGTTCACATCTTACCGGAATGCTTCCAGGATGAATTAAACCACAATCTTGCTTGAGGTTGCTCTGAGACGAAAATTATAATTTTGCTGCATGCATCATTTGGTCTGACTGTCTCGGTTACTATTTAAAGAGCAATTGAGTGATGTACCTATTTTTTTCCCTCCATTGTCAGCCATCTTGGATATCAGTGTCAGATCAGGCACAATTCAGTGGGGCTTCTAACCTACATTTTTTATGCAAGGACCCGAAAGACTCAAGCAAAATGTAGTGCTTTTATTCACCCAGGAACAGTGATTATTCTCACCTAACTATGCTACATGTACTGTCTATTAGTACAATTAGAGCAAAAATTGGTGACTTGAATAAAAGTTGAGAGTTGCACCATATCGCACCATGCTAAGTGCGCACTACTTTGCATTAATTTGCGCGTGTTAATTGCATATTGACGGCATGAGGACGTTTCCCTGGTGAAGCGGATTGTTGTAATTGCCAGCAAAACGTCTTACTCAAATTGTAAATGTTGTGGGTTTACTCTCCAACACACAAGCGGTGTTCTGAACTAGTGACTAATTGGCACGTTTTGTTTACGTGACAAACCTTGCGAATTGTCTGTGTCGGGTGGTGGCAGGTTTAACGGCACGTTTATATGTATGCGATCTATCCCATAAAAGCTTTATTATGGATTAGTCAAGACACATGATGGCCGATAGGCACGAGTGTTGACAGAATAGCAGTAATATCAGTGACCACACTCAAGAAGATGACTGGTGCAGAGATGGAGTGATATGATTGATGACAACTCGATCTTGACCAGCATACAGTAGATTGAATACTGGAATACTGTGCACCAGCAGTGAGAACTGAACAATATATCTCAATGAAAAGACATTGGAATTGATAATGTAATTCAATGGAGTATTTATTATACACATTACATCTTAGCACTAACATTTATATGCTATATGTATATGCACCATAGACATATAATTGGGTCATATAATTGGGTCATATCACTGCATATATACAAGTACATATGTCTACACAACGAACCACACGAGTATATGTTGTTTCCATTGCAGGTGCTCGATGTAAGATTGCCACCTTTTTCCAGAGACAAAACCAGGATTAATTCTCACTCAGCCTAGGTCTATCAGAACCTTACAGTACAGCATATACTGCAATACATTTAAACACAATAACCTCCAGATCTCATTGACAAATAAATCATCCGACCAACCAACCGAACACAGACGCCAATTCCCGGACCGTACGGGTCCATAACAACGGGCAGGTGGCAAGCCAAATAGCGTCACGTGAATGGGGCTCTGGGTGGGAGATCACATTGGGCTGGCGGGGTCCCCACCCCTCTTGCCGAAGCGCTGTGGCCGCGTGCGGTGCCAGAAGGGCTCGGAGCGGCTGGCGCGGTCCGCGTTGCCGTCCTGGAGCCCGGCCCAAGACGCTGCACTCTCGGGGCAGTCGGCAGCCGGAGGAGGCACGCCGCGACCAAACCTGCATCGTCCCCAGTGCAACAAGCAAAGCACCCGTGCTGTGTCAAACCAAACCAAGGTGCCAGGGGGTGGGGGAGCGGTGGCGCAGTGGTTTACGCAACAAATAAAAGAGCGT